TTTGATATTTTATTCCAATCAACTAATAGAATGAACCCAAACGATCATATAGATATCACAAAATGGTTTCTGACTTGTTCAGTTGCGGAGAAATAGACGATTTTCAACAGGTCACTTTTCAAGGTTTTTGGTCCATAAAAGTGTCAATTATTATTTGATTTTCATAAAATTTCCCGTGTGATACCTAATGCCATTTACGATTTCATACCAGTAATTTAACACTTTTACTGTTACCGGAAGTAACGTCATTGTGGCAAAAACTGTATTTTTAGCCTTCAAAACAGATATTTTATTCAAATGAGTCTGATTTGTATTGTTTTTAAAATTATGATATTTGATTCCAATCAACAAATAGATTGAACCCACACGATCATACAAATACCAAAAAATGGTTTCTAACTTGTACGGTTGCAGAGAAATAGACGATTTTCTACAAGTCACTTTTCAAGGATTTTGGTCTATATTATTCGATTTACATAAAATTTTCACCATGTGATGCCTTATGCTATTTCTGATTTCATGAAACTAATTTAACATTTTCATTATCACCGGAAGTAATGTAATGTTGTCAGGATCACTTACATGTAATGAAATGTTGTCAGGATCACTTACATGTAATGAATGTATACAATGAATTGATATTGCCGGATTTGGTTGATTCTGCGTACATTTTATGTGATGTGTGCAATGCTTAAATGGCAACCTGTTAAATGGTTTCATTGGTACCGGAAGTGACAAATGTTCAAGGGTAACGGGGCACCGGTGAAACCCGTCATTACTGCATCGCAGTTCTAGTTTTTATTATTATTATTATTATTTTTTTTTCCAATTTGATTGTATCTCAGAAACTACATGTCGGATCGATACGATTTCTTCGGTTTTATTGGAAAAGTGAGTGTGACTTAGAGATTAAAGCTATTTCGGGCATTCTGTGACAAAGCGAAATGTCCGAAATCACCGAAGTTGTTGTTTTTTAAAAAAATGCCGTAGTATTAACAATAATCATCGAATTTTAACATATGATGCATTTTGACATAGCCGGATACCAGGCACATAGCTGTGCTACTTTTGATTTTTGATTGTCGACGAATCTTCGTAGATATTAAGCGCCAAATTTCGAAAATTTAAAATTTTACAAAAAACTTTTTTATTTATGAATATTTTTACATGGCATTTTAACCAGGGTTAAAGAGTTATCCGATTTGACTAAAAATGTCAACATTATTTGTGTCCGTAATTTTCCTTGGCCGCCATTGGCTAATTCAGTTTTTCAGTCCTAGATTAATCATTTATTATTCGATTTGTACAAAAGAAAGTTCATATGCTGCGTGGTCCAAAATGTCATTTATATTGTTACCGGTAAAGATTTGTGTCGGCACCGGAAGTAAAGTAAAATCAGCAAAAACTACAATTTTTACAGATTTTGACAGTTCGGTACAACTTTTTGAAACCAAATATTATTTTTTCAAAATTTGAAATTACCAAAAGTATACGCCATGCAAAGGCGCACAAATCATCGGACTCAGTTTTTTTAATTTCAATTTCGTTTTCAGGCTATTTCGATTAAAAGGTGAAAAAAGGTGTAAAATTAAGCTATTTACAACCCATCCAGCGTCTTCATATTTCAAAATATTTCATCGTAACTTTCATAACCTCGTAGCAATAACCCATACAAAGAGAATGTATGTCAAAATTAGTTTGTAATATCAGCAGTTGTCGAGATATAGACAATTTTGCATGAGTCACATTTCGTGCTATTTTGCCTGTACAAGAATCAATTATTATTCAATTTTCAATTTTCTTTCACCATTTGATGCCGAGTTTGGCTAGATTAAACCATTTTAACACTTTTACTGTCACCGGAAGTGACGTCATTTGGGCAAAAACTGAATTTTAGCCTTCAAAACCGATATTTTTTTCAAATGAGTAGTATATGTTATTTGTTTAAAAGTATGATATTTAATTTCAATCAACAAATAGAATGAACCCATACGACCATATAGATACCACAAAATGGGTTCTAACTTGTAAGATTTCAGAAAATAGACGATTTTTCTACTAGTCACTTTTCAAGGTTTTTGGTCTATAACAGTGTTAAATATTATTTAATTTTCATAAAATTTTCACCATGTCATGCCTTATGCCATTTCTGATTTCATTAAACTAATTTAACATTTTCATTCTCACCAGAAGTAATGTCGTTTTAGCAAAAACTGTATTTTTAGCCTTCAAAACAAATATTTGTTTGAAGTGAGTTATATTTAGTATTCGTTTGCCATTATGATATTTCATTCCAATGGAAATATAGATTGGATCAATACGATCATAAATATGTCAAAAAATAGCTTCTAGCTTCTTCTCTTGCAAAGAAATAACCAATTTCGTCAGGATCACTTTTTAAGACTTTTCGCATTTTTATTACAGTTCTAAATTGATTATTTATTGCCTGATTTGTATAAAACAAAAGCTCATATACTCCTTGGTGCAAATTCTCAACTTGTTTCTACCTATAAAGTTTTGTCGGCACCGGAAGTGACGTAATCTTGCCTAAAATTTAAATTTTGATGGGTCGGGAGGTCTTTTCCTAAGGAAAAATCTTAATTTCTACAAATCTTATCAATGAAGATGACTGCTCCTACTATAGGCGCAAAATATGTCGGGCTTAGTTTTTTAGGTTTTTTTTTATATCAGTTTTGTATTTGCGCCATTTGGATTTAAGGTTGAAAAAAGGAGTAAAAATCAGCTATTTACAACCCATTCATCGTCTTTATATTTTAAATTATTTCTACGCAACTTTCATAATTTTGTAGCATTAATCCATACGAGGACAATGTATGTCAAAATTAGATTGTAATATGCGCAGTTGCAAAGAAATAGGCAATTTTGCATGCATCACTTTTCACGTTATTTTGCATGTAAAAGAGTCAATTATCGTTCGATTTTCAATTTTTGTTACCATGTGATGCCTCATGCCACCTTTGACTAGGTCAATCCAATTTAACATTTTCACTGTCACTGAAAGTGACGACATTTGGGCAAAAACCCATACGACCATACAGATATCACAAGATGGTTTCTAATTTTATTATCACCGGAAGTAATGTAATTTTGGCAAAAACTGTATTATTAGCCTTCAAATTGTTTTGAAGTGAGTTATATTTATCATTCGTTTAACATTATGATATTTGATTCCAATGAACATATAGATTGGATCAATACAATCATGATGTCCAAAAATTGTTTCTAGCATCTTCCCTTGTTGAGAAATTTCCCATTAAAAAGTCAGCTAACTTAGCGGTAAGTTAGTAACAAATTTTGTAAGGATGACTTTTTGACATATGTAACAAATGTATAAATGAAATTAATATTGCTGGGTAACTGGCACCGGAAGTGACATAAGTTCAAGGGTAATGTGGCACTGGTGAAACCGGGAATATATCGTGATCATCGTATTTATCGTTTTATAGGGTCTATAAACCTACCTTGATTAACTACTTAATCTGCCTTGATTGACTGACTTAATCCTTTGTCGGACAATTCATCAATCTAATCTTAAACAGAAGCTATTGTCTCCCCTTTGTCGGACTATTCATCAATCCATTATAATTTTAATCTTCGTATTAATCTCGTGGTTTCGGACATTTTAATCGCATTGATGTGAGCCAACAATATGTATAAACTAGTCATAGAAGTCACATATTGTGAGAGTATATAACGCCCAGATCAATAGACAGTCATTATAATTCGTCTGCGATATAACTTCGGTGGAAGCAAGCGTTAAATAAAGCTATTTCACACACACACATATCCGAAAAATACTAGACATTGCTAGCACGCGGTTACAGCACTCGGGAAACCTCGACAGATTCCGTTACTCCACATCTAGCTTCGGCTGTATGACGGTAAGTGATATGTACCTACGAACTTGCCAGTTTTAGAAAGAAGTTATCAAAATTGCGTCGTTCGAAGCGTGTTTAGAATTTTCAGAGCAAAGTTGTCCTTGTTTGAAGAAAATCTAATTAAACTTGAAAGAAAAACAGCTTCAGGTATAAATTTGAATACCGTACGGGAATTAAATATGAAAAATAACGAGGTCCACCCATTTTTTTATTACGGACGAATTTGAATATTTTGTTTATGCGTGATTTTTGTGTGTAGTCTAAAAACTGCCATCTTAAATAACGATAAGAGTTATGTCCCTTTATTTTCGGTAAAAATGTCCGACAAGAAAAATTTTGAAATCCCATCACTGGTGATGAGTCATAATTTGGCTAATTCCAGCGTGACAGATGGGACAGAATAGGTGACCATGTAAAATGTCGTTAATGTTACGACAACAAAACTTTCCTGGGTCACGTTCCACAAACATTCACAACGAACGTTAAATAATGAAAAAATAATGTTTTGAAAACGTTCGGAAAACTAAATTTTGTTAGCTGGGTTCTTCGTCTCATGACTTTAAACACTGTGTATAAATTTTAAGTCAATCTGATATTAACTTTAGCCTCTAGAGCATCCACAAGCAATTGTGGACGCTAGCCAGCTGGCCGGAAATGAAAATGAAATCAAATGAAATGGAATTTAACGTCCTACTGTTCTGCTCCTATGCTGCGCTAATGAAGACAGGCATACGCCATACAGTGTGCTATGAGGGAAATTTTGTACTCTTATATCGATTTCCAACTGCCAAAGGACTAGACAGCTGTCCTTGTCAGGCCCTCCGTCCTGCATCACTGACAAGGGGGAACCACGCCGGAAAATCTGGATGAACTTTCTCGGCCAATGCAGGGATCGAACGCCCGACCTCCAGGCTAGCGAGCCAGCGTCTTACCAACATTGCCACGTGATTCCCCCCCCCCCCCGCTGGCTGGACAGGGGCGACGACAATATTCGACTACATTTCAATGTGGGCGTATAAAAACAGATGAATAATATTCCACAGTAATGAAAACAATCAGTTTGCAGAACAGCTTATCCATATTTTGTTTACTTCTACTAACCTGAAGAGAACATCCCCATCAACAGTATACACTCTTAATGGATTGATAGATGTTAATATAGTATATATACCAATATCAAACTTTCTACAAAATAAAACACTACATTTAGTAATAGATTAGCTTATATCATCCAAAAACCAGCGGCTGCCAGGCAGGATACGCCCACATTTTGCAAGAGATGGACAGAGAACAAGCTAAAAACAAATGCGATTTTTTTGTACAATCAGGTGCAATAACCGAGAAAGCTATGGCCTGAAATGTGCAAATATCAAAAGGGACAGAGATCTTTGGTATATAAGGCCGCGGTTAATTAATTGTTTGTTTCTCATGACCCGCCCGCATGTCCGTTTTCATCCATAATAATTACGCACTTCCATAATTATTTGGTCAAATTTAGTGAGGTCCAAAATTTGTCCTTTAAAACTATATTTGTTTGCCTTTAAATATGAACAATGAATTGACACATTAAAATCCACTATTTATCGATGAACATGACACCGTAGGTGATAAGTAAAGTAGGCTATAATGTGAAACGGAGTCCATCCGTAAAACCAGAAGTGATAAAGCCGTATCATATCTGTCATCCATACCGAGGAATGGTAGCTACAACATTCACCAAAGACCACATATATACTCTATCAGGCACTTGTCATTTGTAATAAAATTCATAGAAAGATATAAATGTCTTTTAATTCCTGCTAAATTAATTCCTGCCGCCATGAGATAGCCTCTATCATTAGATACCGACTGGTTGACACTGCTTCACGCCTTTCACAGTATTATATTAACAACACTATATAAACAGTCTAAGAACACAAAGATACAAATAAATGTAAACAGTTTGATTAAGATAGACAAAATAATAAAAGTATTTATATTATCATGATGCTATGTGCCGATGATGGGTTAAAAGTTGAAGCGTAAACATATAAGCTATTGCCATATAAAGCATTGGTACTATCTTCCTTCATGGCTAGAGAAAAGACCACGTGTGTAGTAAATTCTTTAACTGACCTGTTAAATAATCTAACTTATTTTGTATTTAAAAATCCAAGGGTATGCTTTTAATTATTTATGTCAGAACAAATCATCAACCAGTTTGGAACAGGTCATTTCTTAACTTTCAAAGTAAGGACAGATAAAGAAATGAAATGCCAAGAATGAATGAATTAACGAACCGTTAACTTAGAAGCGTATCACTAATAATTTAGACCTATTACATGTATTATGATCAATTCTTCCAATGCCCTGCTATTGTGCAACTGATATTTTAATCTATAAAAATATTCAATAAATGTGAATAAATAGGGGACACTGGTTTTCGTTGGTTTTTCAACGACCAAGTAACTGACATTAGTTATTGTTGAAATAGAAACCGCATTAAGCTAAAAAAATTAAATTTCATCTCAAAAATTAATAATTACTGCATGTAGCATGTATATTTCACAAACTCTGGTCATGAGAAACTGACAATCAATTAACCGCGGTCTAAAGATGTTTTAAGTTTCATCAAAATCGGATAAAAATTGTGACCTCTAGAGGGTCCACAACCTTTGTATTACACATTTCTACACAATTTCCGTACAAAGAGCGGTCATGTTGTCGGGCAATTTCATATCGATTTTCCCGAAATTCGAATACAACCTTCATTATGGTGGAATGGTGATGTATTTAAACGGTTTTTAAAATCGGACAAAAAATGTGACATCTAGAGAATCCGCAAGCTAAAATGTGATTTTTCGAACAATCAGGGGCCATAATCAAGAAAGTTTAGTTTTCAAGGAATTCAAACTCAACAAACAATCAGGGGCCATAATTCAGGAAGTTATGATTCGATATGTACGAAAATGGAAAGGAACCAAGATATTTGGGTTATAAACATGCATTTAAAGTTTCATCAAAATCAGATGAAAATTGGGTTATAAACTTACATTTCAAGTTTCATCAAAATCAGAAGAAAATTGTGACCTCTATAGGTTCCACAAGCTAAAAACATGATTTTTCGTTCAATCAGGGGCCATAATCCATGAAGTTTCGGTCCGATACATGCCAATATCGAAAGCAACCAAGATCTTTTGGAGATAAACCTATATTTCAAGTTTCGTCAAAAACGGATAAGAACAGACGTCCGGACGGACAGAGGTGACGGCAATATACATTGACATGAAAATGTGGGCGTATAAAAATGTCCTACCTGCCATCTATAAGATACGGTTTGGCAACATATTCTTGTATAAAAGTTCCTTCTAAATTCAGATTCAAATCTAAAATAAACAAGTCAACGGTTATGATGTCACCCGCCTCGACCCCAACATCAATAGATGACACATATTAATTAATTGCATATTTAACTTATTGAACTTAGTCAAGGTTTTAATTTAGTGGAACTATATGCCAATTGCCAAGATTCATCACTCTCACTCAATCAGAATCAAAGTTATTACATCCCAAAGCATCAAGCAATCAAATTGTTTATTTCTAATCATTGAACTCACTCATCAAGTCATTCACCTAATGAACATCTAATCAAAGTTTGAACATTCTGGGGGGTGGGATGGCTGAATGGTTAGTGGGTGTGCGCTGTATCATAAAGTCTGTCATTGAGTCAACTGACATGGTTTCGATACCCCAGTTGTATGTGACAAGGAGTAGAGTCGCCTGTCCAACCTTGTGGGTTTTCTCTGAGTCTTCCAATTTCCTCCCACTGCTAAAGACTCCTACGCACAATTGCATTATTGAAATAAAATGGAACTATATGTTAGTCATGAAATGACCTAGTTTGTGTCGAGTGGTACTCTGGATATTGATGGAACTTTGGTATCATTTACTTTTGGGTTTTTAACCTGAGAAACTATAGATATGATTTACTTTCAAATTATCGTTTGATAGTAGTTAAAAACTGTTTATAAACTTAAAAAATCATGTACAATGTTGACAATGTATTTTCCTGAAAGGCGTGTATCAATCAAAGTCCTGTTTATTTATTTACAGCTTCTATTTATTAGATGAACGGTTCCCGAGAGGTGTGTATCAATCAAAGTCCTGTGTATTAATCGTGGAAATCGTTGAAAATCAATAGGCCTCTTCGTCTCGTGAATTTAAACACTGTGTATAAATTTATAGTCATTCGGATATTAACTTTAGCCTAGAGCGTCCACAAAATTTTTCAAAAATGATCAAGGGCCATAACTATGGCAGTACTTATCGGAAATCATTGAACATCACTACGCTTTGTCGTCTCATGAGCTTAAACACTGTGTATAAATTTAATGTCAATCAGATATTAACTTTAGCCTCTAGAGTGTCCACAAAATTTTGTTCAAAAGCACAAGGCTTCTTCGTCTCATGTCTCACAACCTTAAACGCTGTGTATAAATGTAAAGTCAATCGGATATTAACTTTGGCCTCTAGAGCGTCCACAAGATTTTTTTATGTGATCAAGGGCCATAACTCTGGAAGTAATTATCGAAAATCGCTGAAAATGAATAAACTTCTTCGTCTCATGTCCTAAAACACTGTGTATAAATTTAAATTGGATTTTAACTTTAGCCTACAAGATTTTTTGAAGTGATCAAGGGCCATAAGTTTGGCAGTAATTATCGGAAATCGCTGAAAATCAATAGGCTTCTTCGTCTCATGACCTTAAACACTGCGTATAAATTTAAAGTCAAACAGATATTAACCTTAGTCTCTAGAGCGTCCACAAACAATTGTGGATGCCGGACCAACAGACAATATACAACCACATTTTATTATTTCCATATTCTCACACACGCACAGATTACTTTTTAATAATCAATAGATTACCTGCTTCGTTTCAATTAATATTTACGGGGGAGGGCATAGTGTTGTGTTTTCCCCCTTAACGCTATTCGAGCTCGTCTCAGTCTAAGCACATGAATCAAAAGAATAAAAAATTCAATAATAAATTACATAAACTTTATTCAACAAATATTTATAATTAATACTTACATAATACAAATTACAAGGAATAAATATATTAAATAGTCTTTACAATAATGTTCATTTATAGATCATGTATAACTTATATTTATACGATTAATAAAAGTAATTTACTTTAATAAATAAATGTAACGAGCAGGAATTATTCCAATTTGTTCCAAACTCTAGTAATACAAAGGCGTGATTTCCACCCTTCCTTTTAGCAATTAAGGTCGATTGACAAGGACAGATGACTCAATTGGTTTACACACTTGTCACTTTTCAATGATCAATAGAGGACCCGCTTCGTTGCACATAATTTCTAAAGGAGGGGGGGGGGGGGGAGAGAGGGTATATTCCATTGGATGACATTCTCGATTGTCACTAAGTCCCTCATTGACAGGTGTGTATATGTAACCAGAAGAAACACCAATAGTAATTAGTATCTTATTATTTTATCAGGAATCTACAGAGACAACAATCTCCTAAGTAAGGGAATACAGAAGCAACACCAACTACAGTACCAACCATTCAATGGAACCCTCCGATGTTGAAATATGGCGTACCACCCTCGAGCTCTTCAGACCCACTGAATATTAATTAGTTGCGCTTCCCTACTGACAAATGTTCATTGGATAAACTGGTCACATGACACTGTATAGTTCACAATGTGCGAAATTTACATGGACATAATTATAATATAACATACATGTAAACCTGACTAAGTCGTAAAACAACTTTCCTAAATAATTGACTATCCAAAATATGTCACACGTGTATAATAAAATCCAGGGAGTTGAACAATTACTATGGAAGCAGATTGCTATTAGTCCATGTGACAGACCTCGGATTTCGGAGTATCATTACCAATTTGATGAATAAATTCAACCATGATTTTCAGTTAGCCTGGTGCCCGAAGTGTTCAAATTTGGCTGATGGACTTCTGGTTCACTTTGCTAAATGCCATTTTGGTGGCCATCTTTAAAAATGGCCGCCGTTTTTTCATTGCAATTGAGCGCGTCAAGGAAACCTTCATAACTCTTTCACAGATTGACCTATTGATATGGAATATGGCTCAAAATGTTCGCAATAACATTCTACAGCTGCTGTTATATGACACATGTTGGTGAATGAATCATATATTTTCCAAATCAACAGATTATTCTGAAAAAAACAACGTTTTGGCATTTTTTTTCAAGATTTATTTTATAAGTTCACTACCAAATCATGTTCAGGGTAAATTTAGCCAAATTTTGTGTGTGGTCTTCTTAAGTTATTCATTTGGCATAAATAAATACGCCCAGTGACCCATTCTGTACAGCTGCGGTGGTCGGAAACTCAACAAAAGTCTTGAGTAGACTGTCAATTTTAAAATGTTGAGCCTCGGCGAGTTAGGGTACTAACCATGTGAACGTTTATTTAGGGTTGTCGCAACGATATTTGGGGACCGGTTGTTTCTGAAGAAAAATTTGTCACTGAAGACGATTTTGATATTATGTCACTTCTGTGACGTCATTTTCGGTTGAATCCGTCCGATTTCCAAAATGGCCGCCAAAATTTGACGAAAAATGAATTTCTTGTTAGGATGGATGGGTATCACGCAAAGCAAGACTTGTGATATATCATATATAGGGTTTCCGTAGTCATTGTACTTTGAATTGATCTATAAAATTAGTTTCCCAAAATCCAAGATGGCGAAAATTCAAAATGGCAGTCAAAATTTGATCGATGCCTCGGATAATCGTTATTTTACAGTTTGATATGCCCTGTAATATGCCGCTTAGGGGTTTTTCGATGTCACAGACCATAAATACAACCTCTAAAAAAAGGGTTTCCAAAATCCAAGATGGCTAAAATCCAAGATGGCGGCAAGATTTTCCCTAAAATGAATGATTTTTCAGATAATCGTCATTTTTCTGTTTTGTACGGCTTGTAATATGTCCTTTATGGGGTTTTCAGGATCACTAAACTTAAATATTACCTCAAAAATAGATTTTGGATAAGGTAGATGATTGCCCCCAAAATAGATTTTTAATATCGTAGATGATTGCTTAAGAACAAAACGGGACAATTGTCAGTCTTTCTATTGGCTTTGCTTATTATAAAATTGTGTAGTAGTTTTTTAGGGGAGGATGGAATTAATTATACTAGATCTCATAAATCAGAAAACAAGATTTAATATTATTCCAGCAAAGCTGTATGGAATTTTAATATATCTTTGCAAATATATCTAGTTGTTAAGAATTACCTATTCTGTTTGTTCACAAATGGGCCGAAATAGTGGCTCAGTGGGTAAGGCTCAACAAGGTCCGGAATTTGATCCCTGTGTCTGGGCAAATTTGTCCTCATTTCACACTGTATGACAAATAGCCATCTTCATTGACCAAGTTAGAACAGTAGGACGTTAACCCACATTGCATTTTATTTCTGGTCCACAAATCGTAATGTGATAGATTTTTACTTTAAAGAGTCTGGCAGCCTTTTGTGGTATCATCTAGATTCTAGACAGATGGTATCATGGATTCATATTTGTAAATTGTGAAAGTGTAAAGTGTATTTCACAAGTTCTAAGTTTAAAAATGATAATTACAGAGATAATTTGAAATACATTTACGACTAGGTATCCCAAAAGCCATGGCTCACGATTTCCTCTTTGTTAATGTCACAACCATCCACCTCATTGGAATTACTCTGACAATCGCAGCTACTGTTTTTCTTCAGCAATGTACACTAGCCAAAGTACAAGTAGAAACAGGAGATCTCGGCAGCGACAATGATGATATCATTTTAATATACTATTCAAAAAAAGTAGGGGATATTTGATTTTTAAGTGTTATTAAAGTCACCTAATGAAACTGACGAAGAAACAAATGACAAAATGAAATGAAGTTCACATTCATCGATTTATTCCAAATGATCGTTAGACTAAGTAAGGCACAGACTGACCATTATAAGGGTAAAATGATACCCGGGGTCAAACAGCAAAGTTACCACAGCATCACAACCAAGTCAGTAACGGGTAAATCCTCCTCTGTTTGCCAAACAAGCATTGATCCGACGTGGCATACTCCTAATGAGACGTCTAAGGTCATTTTGGTCCAGATTGTCCCATTCCTGTTGCAACGCAGCAGCAAGTTCTTGGACATTGGCAGGATGTTGTTGACGTTGACGTAACCTCTGTCCAAGCATGTCCCAGACATGCTCGATGGGGGAGAGGTCGGGACTCAGTGCTGGCCAAGGTAATGTGGTGATGTTCTGTTGTTGGAGGTAACCTGTAACGATCCTGGCCCTGTGACATCTTGCGTTGTCATCCTGGAAGATG